AAGCATCCTAATAGGAGAAGACAGAGAGGCTGCGCAAAGACTTAAGTGGAGACTGGAGTGGTGGGTCCACAAGCCACCAGATGCTAGAAGAGTTACAGCTTTTGCAGGGCGAATGGCCCCACAGGAACCTTGATGTCAGATGCCTACCCAGAGTGGGAGGAGATAAATGTGTATTATTGTAAGCCATTCAGCCTGTGGAACATTGTCACAGCAACCATAGGAAGCCACCACTGCCCACCATCACAAGCTGGGAGGACAGCTGACCCCTCCACATACAATACAAGGCACAGTCTACTCACTCAGTAAACCTGGAGTCATCTAGGGGAGCCCTGGGAGGTGGGTGCTGCTGTGATCAGTATGGGTGGGACAATTGAGCAGACATGAGCGGTCCTGAAACTCCCCCAGGTCACCCTGAGAGGCAGCGCTGGAATGCAGGTGCAGCACTGGCCTGGTTCCAAGGCCGCCTGCAGGGCTTATCTTGGGACCCTGGAGGCCAAGGGGAGAAGGTAAGGACTCTGTGACTGAATAAATAAAAAAGACAAATGTTTCTTTTCTCCAGTGGCTGGCTGAAATTTAGCCCCACTTCCACCTTATGTGGAGGCCCCACACATAGCCACATGGGCAGCACCTGTGAGCTTGTCCCCAACAGAACACAGGTAACACTTCCAAATCCCTTAGCATGGGTCAGAGAGCCAGGAAGCCACCTGTGCTTATAAATCCATGGCCGCCGTCCAGCCACCTGCAGGGCACCAACACAGGGGCTTCTGGGTTGGTTCTGACCTCGAAGTATCTCGATGTCAGCGGCTTCCTCGTCACCTCTCTATGCATTTTTATGAATTTAGGACTGTTATCCCAAAAGTGTTCGCTCCCCTCACTCCTGTGCCAAGGTGGCCAAGGCACCAAAAGGCTGAGTGGCTCCAAGCTGGCCAGACTCAAGGGCCTTTCCTCCCACACCCTAATTCACTCCTCTGTCCCCTTCCCAGGTCTTTGTCATCTGTGACCTCCAATATTGCCAGAAATTGCCAATCACAGGGCCCCTGCTGACTTTGTCACTATCCATATCCCCAGAGACAGCCAGGGAGCTCTCCCTACAGCCTATTCTGATCCCCTCAGCCCGAGGCTGTGCACTGCCTCCAGCAGCCTCCCGAGACTGGGGACAGGGTCCCTGTCACTGGCATCTGACCCCTCCAGCAGCATCTCTGGCCGCCCCACACTCTCACTGTTCCTGTCTCAGTCCCTCTGCAGCTTCTCAAGTTCTCCACCCACCCAGAGGGAGGTAGAGGCCCCTGCCCTGTGCCCCCACCCGCTGGTCAGGTGCTGCCTGCTGTGCATCTCCCTGGGGCTAAGGGTCTGACTCCATCTTCTGATGTTCAGAGTTTTCAAGGCTCCCAGTCGCCTCCCCCTCAGCCCCACATCCAGGCAGGCTGAGAAGAAAGCCCAGCCAGCCCTCCTTCCAAATAGACGGGGTATCCAGGCCCTCACGGGCACACTGACCACAAGGCACCTACAGCCTCCTCTCCTGCTGCCCCAGCCACTCTCAGACCATCGTGGAGGCCTGGCCCCCTGGCCCTGAGGGCCACAGCCTGTGAGCCACATGGCTTTCCACACCATACTGTAAAATGTGCAGAGCCATCAGTCTCAACATTTAAAATGAATTTGGGGTGAGGGGGGCCTGCTTCTGCCAAGTGGCCACTGTGCACCACCAGCCTGGGACCCGTGATGCAGGCATTTCATCTCCTCTCCTTAGATGGCTACCACAAGCACAGCTCTGCACAGCTCCTTGCAGCACCTGCTGCTCCCCCTGCCTGGAACACCCTGCTCCATCTCATCTCTGAAGCATGGGTCCTTTTAAATGACATCTACTACATGCCTTGAACTTCACTGACCTTACAAGCCTCACAACTCCATGGAGGTGTATGACCTTGATCTCACAGAACCAAGCTCAGAGAGGTTAAGTGACTTACCCAAGGCTGCACAGCTAATGAGGAATGGAACCAGGGGTATGTCTTCACCTTATCTGCCTTAAAGGCCCCTCTTTAGGAGTTCCTTCCCAGTCTCACCACACCGAGATCAATTTCTCGTTCACATAAGTCTTGTCCACTGTCTGTCCCTCCATGAGCTTGTGAGTTCCCTGAGGTCAGGTACAGGGTCCACCCTGCTCTTACAGCCTCCCCCATTCCCAGCAAGCCCTCCATAGTCATGTGTCAGACTGGCAGCTGTGAAAACCTTAGAGTGGACTGAGGTGGGGCCTGGAAGGGTGGAGGGTAAGCAGGGGTGGCAAGGTTCAGGAAGCCCATGGAGGGACAGGGGACAGATCAGCCCTTCCACTATGTGCAATACCCTGTTCACATGGTGTCCTCTGCTCCTTGCCCTCAAACAGGTCCATACCTGAGTCCCTCTCCTATGCACATGGCCCAGACTTCCTATTTGTGGCCCCTTTGACCCCAGCTCTTGTCCCACTGGCACATACAGGTGTCAGAGGGGAGAGCCCAATGGATCAGAGCCTCACACCACTGGACAGACACATGGCAGGGGCCAGGCACAGCAAGAAAGACACCGAGCCACCTGGGAGCCTGTGGTGTCCCCTGAGCACAGTGTGGCCCGTGGGGTCAGCCAGTGCTGCACAGTGAGGCATAATGATGCTGACCCCAGAGCTCCCAACAGCTTAACTCGCACCCCCCAATTCTGGGGGTCCATCCTTAGAGCCAAGATGAGGCTCCAAGTTTCTTCCCCAGTACCCCAGGGAAGGTCTTAGCTGGTGCCCACAAACAGGAAGTGGTCAGCTCAGCTACAGGCAGCACATCACCCTGTAGATGCCACTCTGTGTCTGCAGGGTGGACAACTGTCAGGATGCACAGACTAGGATCAATCCCAACTCAGCCGCGCACTCTCCACATGGCTCTCAGAGGCACTCCAAATTCTAAGACTCAGTCTCTCCATCCGTTATGGGGGTACGATCGACCAGAAGGGGCATCTATGCATCGGAGGTGGGGAGGCCCCAGGTTGGTAGGAAGAACCAAGTGTATCACTCAATGTGGGGGAGGCGTGGTCACTAGACACTGGGCAGGTGGGGGGAGGCATGGCCACCCCCCTGAGGTTGGTGTGTCATTCCTATGTATCTACCCCTGCCACAGGAATCTGTAGGGCCTCTCCCAAGAGAGACTGTGCTAGATTAAAATTGGTCACAAAGGCCTGTGACTCACATCTGTAATCTTAGCAACTTGGGAGACTGTGATTGGAGGATCGAGTTTTGAGGCCAGACCAGGCAGTAGTTTGAGAGATCCCGTTTCCAAAATAACCAGAGCAAAATGGACTGCGGGAGTGGCTCAAATGGTAGATCTCTCCCCACCACAATAAAAAAAATTGGCCACAAACACCATGGCAATAAGTTGTTTGCTGCTCCTCCCACCAAGACGTGACATCTGTTTCTTTTTCCTTAAATCTGATGGTGCTGTGACTTTTTGAGTAGTAGAACACAGCAACGGTGACATAACCCAAGTTGCCAGCCTAGGCAGCAAAGGCGTGTGTTTCTGTCCCTTACACTCCTGCCATCACCATAGAAAGGACAGTCCTGTCCATCTGCTAGACTCAGGAAGATGAGAGACACACAGAGCAGCTGACATGGGCAATTCCACTCGTGAGGAACCCTGAGCCACTAAGCTGGGGACAGACAGCTTGTTTCACAGCAACGTGTTACCAACAGGACAGCAGGCAAGAGTTGAAGGTGACAGTCTGGCCAAGCAGAGTCTCCTTCATCAGGGCTCACAAGCCCCCACCCTTTGATAAGGAAATGAAGTCACCATGAGGAAAGTCACAGGAAAGAAAAGAAACCAATCAGCTCCCTGGGAACTTGGATGTGTCACTTCTCTGAGGATAGGCCAAGGGCAGCACAAGGTCATCTCGAGTGTTCATGGATCCCCATGCATCGCCCCCATCCCCTTCAACCTCAGCAAGCAGGTACGCCCAGGGATGTGGGCAGGAGGATAACCTGGATGGGCTCCACCCTGGCACTGAGTGGGTGCCCAGTTCAACAGGACCCTCTTCTCACGTCCAAAGTGCCATTGACCCTCTCAGTAATATCTTCCCTTGCTCTCAGGAATCCTCCGTTGCCTCTGACAGGAGCCTGGTTCTTGGTGGAGGCTTGGGGGAGGCTACCTGACATGTGACTCACATGCACCACCTGCTGTCTGGCTTCCAAAACTTGCTCAGGTGTAGAGGCTATCGGGAGATGGTGTGGGGAGAGGCTGGTCCCTGGGTACAAAGTCACAGTTAGACAGGGGCTGGAGGTGTGACTCAAGTAGTAGAGCATCTACATAGCAAGCTCAAAACCCTGAGTTCAAACTCTGGTCCCATCAAAAAAAAAAGTCACAGTCAGACATAAGTGAGTTCTGGCGTTCTATAGCAAGTGGGGTGACTTTAGATGACAACGTGTTACACATTTCAAAATAGCTAGAAGAGGGCTGGGGGATGTGCCTCAGGGGTAGAACACTTGCCTAGCATCTTTGAAGCCTTGGGTCTCACCCCTCTAGTACTGTAAAAATAAAAGAAATGAAAAAAAAAATACCTAAAAGAAAGGATTTTGAATATTTTTACGACAAAGAAATGATGTTTGAGATAGATCAGTTTATCCTAATTAGAACCTTATACAATGAATACATGTGTCAAAACATCACAGTACCCATATCTGTATGCAAATTTTTACATCAATTAAAATTAATAAAAATTTTAAAATTATAAGTAAGTAAAAGAAACTTGCTTGGTCTCAGCTGTCCCCTTTATAAGGCCTCCTCTCAGGGTCCTTTTCTTCTGCTTCCTTCTTCCCAGACTTCTGGAAATTTTGTCTAAATGGTTCTTCTATCTTGGGAGGAAGCCCACTGGCTTCTAGCTATTTGCCAGGACTTTGGGCTTCCTAACTTGTAGGCTCCTCTCAGCCAAGCCTGGTGCCTGGCCTCCCACCCAGTCTGGCCCTCAGACATCATGCAAACTGATGGGTAGCTTACCTGGACCTGCCTCCGAGCCTCTGTGCTCCAGTCCCTGGAACCTTCCCGAATTATCTGTCCTGGCTTCCACCTGACCCATCTGCTGTCTCCTGATCTCTGGGAGGAGATTCCCTCTGCTTCTGAGCTTGTTCTCACAGAAATATGCACATTGCTTAGGGTGCTGCCCACAGGTGGAGATGCAGCTGATGCAGTCTCTCAGGAGGTGGTCGTAGTACTTGCCTTGTTCCTTGCGGCAACTGAAGGACTCTGGGAGACAGAAAGGAGTGATGTTACTGGGTGACACAGGCCTACAGAGGCTCTGGGTCTGGCCTCAAAGTTCATCAAAGAAAAAAAAATTCACAGTCCAATTCTCAAAAGGCAATCCCAGGATGATCCAAATTCTTTTACAATTTGTAAGTTGGAGGCTATGCATTGTCCTCTAAGTACTATACTGGCTGCATTGCACACATTTTAGAAAGTAATATTTTCCCTGAATCTAGTTTGAAGTATTTTCACTTTTCACTATTATTTCTTCTTTGGCCTACAGAGTCTTTAAAAGTGCATTTCTTAGTTTCCAAGCATAAGAAGATTTTCTACTTATCTTTTAAAATTGATGTCTGGATTATTACATTGTCATATAAGATCTTTATTTGTAATTTTCGAACCTTATCAAGGAGAAACATTTCAAATTAACATAAGGAATGGAGAGGAAAAGGCAGAATCCTCTTTGGCAAGATGGGGAGGGGGCTGGTAGGAGATAGGAAAGCTCACAGTAACAGCACTTCTGTCACACAGCTCAAACAGGTGTCAGTGCCAAGGAGCAGAAGCTAAGTTCACTGCAGACCATGCTCACTTGCCATAGGGGAACACAGCACAGTCAACTATAGGTGCACAAAAGAAATGGATTTGAGGGTGGGGGGTGTAGCGCAAGTGATAGAGCTTGCCTAGCATGTTTGGGACCCAGGGTTCATTCCCAAAACTTCAAAAAGAAAGATAGGAAGAAAGGAAGGAAAAAGGGAAGAAGGGAGGGAGGGAGGGAAGAAGAAAGGAAGGAAAAAGGGAAGGAAGGAAGGAAGGAAGGAAGGAAGGAAGGAAGGAAGGAAGGAAGGAAGGAAGGAAGGAAGGAAGGGAATGACCATTTACTTTCTGGAAAGCCTCAGGGTGTTTTTACTTTCACAGGTTAAGTTTCCTTTGTCTTTAAAATGAGGTTCTATTTACATGAAAATGTAGGATCTAAGCGCACATTTCAGAGGCAGTGATTAACAACACAGCTACAAAGCCAAACAGATTTGGGGACATCCCTACACCACCACCCACAGGTCGTTGATCTTAATCGCTCCTTGCCTCAGTTTGCTCATTTCAAGAGAGGGATAGCAACCACTCTGACTTCTCAGAGTTGACTGGCAGAGCTGAAGCACCCAGCACAGTGCCTGACTCTCATAAGTGCTGTTAATGAAGGTCTGAATAGAATATTCATTTGAGCATCTTCATTGTGCAAACACACACACATTTATGTCCTTGATAGAGTGAAGGAAAGACCAGGGAGGTCATGGAATTGGGACCTCTGTGAAGATCAGGTGGCCCTGTGTGTGTATGCATGTACGTACATATGTGGAGTGAAACAATGAACGTTCTGATTCATTGATGAATAGTAATTCATAGCCATGGTTTTAGAGTCAGGTTTTGGGTTCAAATCCTGACATTTCCACTTTTAATCTGTGCAATCTTGGGCAAGTCACAGCCTCTCAGTAAGTATGGACAAAGTGCTCACTAGTGTTAGATTGTGCTAGGCTCAGGTCAGACTTGGTTCCTCCCCTCAGGGAGTTCAGTCTAGTGGCTGAGTCAGACTGAACTGTCTATCAAGGAAAACAACAAGCTATAATAAAAATGCAGTAAGCCACAGATAGTTGGGGTTTTTTTGTGTGCTTCTGGGATTTAAACTCAGGGCCTACACCTTGAGTCATTCAACCAGCCCTTTTTAGTGATGTGTTTTTTTGAGATAGGGTCCCATGAACTATTTGCCTGTGGCTGGCTTCGAACTGCTATCCTCCTGATCTCTGCCTCCCAAGTAGCTAGGATTACAGGTGTGAGCCACCAGTGCCCAGCTCAGCCACAGATAGTTTTGAAGACCAGTGAAGACAATTGACCATGAACTGAGTATTAGATTATCCAGGAAATTACTGCAGCGTAATAAAATGTAAGCTCATGTCTTTGAGGCCCTTATGTGTCAGGTGACCTGACAGGAGCGCTCTGTTAGAGTTTGGTTATAAAATGTTTTCAGACTCATGTTGAAGGCTTAGTGCCCAGCTGCTGGTGCTATGGAGAGGCGATGGGATCATGGGGGCACAGAGATGAGTTCACACTAAATGGGCTGCTAGGAGGTGGGCCCAGCTGGAGAAAGTATGTCACTGGGGCAAGATTTTGAAGGGTATATGTTGTTCTTGTCCCTGTCCCTCTCCCTGTCTCTCTCTCTTGCCCTCTCCTTCCTGGCGACCATGAGGTGAGTATGTCTACCCTGCCATAAACTCTCCACCATGATGTTCTAACTCACCATGGCCTAGAAACAAGGCAGCCAAGTGACCATGGACTGGAACCTCTAAATCTATGAGGCAAAATAAACCTTTCCTCCTTTGGGACTAATACAGTTTTAGGCCAGCCACAGTGGCTCAAGGTGGTAATCATAGCTACTCAGGAGATCTGAAGAATAGAAGTTTCGAGGCCAGCCCAGGCAAAAAGTTCACAAAATCCCATCTCGGCCAATAGAAGCTGGACCTGGCAGTGCACACCTGTCATTTCAGCTAGTTGGGAAGTATAAATAGGAGGATCAAGGTCCAGTCCAGTCCGGGCATAAAAGCAAGACCCTACATGAAAAATACCTAAAGCAAAAAGGGCTGGGGTGTGGCTCTCAAATGGTAGAGTGCCTGCCTAGCAAATGCAAAGTCCTAAGTTCAAACCCCAGTACCACAAAAAAGAAGACTGAGTTTTAAATTTGTTTTACAATACACAAGTTAAAAATGATTGGAAAATAAAAAGATAGAGCTTCAAGGATTTTTGAAACTGATAATGGGTACACAGAAATTTATTGTGCTATCTTCTCTATGTTTATGTATGTTTGATAATTTCTATAATAAAAATTTTTCAAAAGAAAGTAACAGAGAATGACAAAGAAGGGCTAACTTCTGCTGGGTAGTCAGAAGAGACCTCTGATACTTGGCTGGAGACCTGAAGGTTGACTAGGAGGGAGATGAGAGAAAATGAATGTGGGAAATGCATTCCAGGCAGAGGAACAGCATGTGCAAAGGGCCTGAGGCAGGAAAGAAGGCAGCATGTTTAAGAAACTGAAAGGAGCCAATGCAGCCAGAGCAGAAAGCTTGAGGGCAAAGAGGCACTACACTGTACACCTCACTCCCCTTCTCGTACTTCTCCACTGCCTGACAGAGGAGGATCTGGGGAAAGTGTGGTGGGGGATGGTCCAGGCCCCTGGGCTCAGGCCCCATAACTCACTGCAGAAGGTTGTGCAGATGCGCTGGCTCCGAAGGCTGCAAGTCAACCTGCAGGAGACGCAGGTGGTCAGCAGGGGGTCCCAGTACTGCTCTTCAGGGCAGGATCCCATAGCCACCCCTGGCCACAGGCCCTGTGGAGCTGAGAGGTGGGAGAGTCAGGAAAGCTGGCAGTGGCCTGGAACCCATGTGGCTTCTCCATCCACATTCCTAGATGCATTCTCCGACTCAGCAGGCAGAGGCAGCCAGACAATACTGGCTTCCAACCCAGCTGCACTTACTGGGCAATCTGGGGTAGCCACCTCTCAGAGCCTCAGTTTCCCCATCTGTGAATCAGTTGTTCTGAGGCCCTTATCACATTAGCTGCAACCTGCTTGGGTCCCTTCTCTGCCCTCCCTGTGTGCCTGGCCTCTTCCTACCACAGGATCTTTGCACATGCTCTTCACTTCCTCCTCATCCTTGGGATCTCTGTTCAAACTGCATATCCTCAGGGAGACTTTGGAGTGTCCCCCATACTGCTACTCTCTGACAATGCCTTTGCTGCTCCCTGTGGTCACTTTCCTTCCATGCCTGTGCTTGTTTCACACTTTCTCCTACTCTAAAGCAAGCAGACGTGGCACAGCTGTTCCTCATTCTTTGTCCATTGCTGAGTCCTCAGGATCTGCAGTGCTTAGGATATAGTACGTGCTGGACATGGCATTTTAGAAAGCAGACCCAGCCGTTGCCTAGCCTACAGCAGCCACTCGATAAATGTCAGCTTCCTTCCCTTTTTTTGCTTCTTGAGGTGTGAGACACACATGACAGTGTAAAGGACTCAACGTCTTATGTACAGTTTGGAAAATTTTATCTCTATTATAACCATGTCACTACAACCCACATGGAGGCAGAGACCGTTTCTCGCACCCAAAGTGATTCCCAGATCAACTCTCATTCTACACTTACTCCAGGGGTAACTACTGTCCTGACTTTTTGTGCACTGTGGGCTGACTTTGTTGCTCTAGAACTTCTAAGCCTGGCTTGTTTGCTCTTGTGGTCTAAGCCCCGAGGAGTCTGTGGGCCTCTGTGTCACCTCTTCCTTCCATGGGGTCTGGCCTGATTTCAGACCCCTGCACCCCACTTCTCTTAAATGTTTTGCAAAGCCTTTGTTTATTCTAAGAAAGTAAGCTGAGAAAAGACCTGTGACTTCCTGTTCGCCCTGGCAGCCTAAACACATGCATTTGTTTTTCTTCCCTCCTGCAAACCCAGGAACCACAGCCAAGTCCAGTCGTCCCCAAGAGAAAGAGAACAGATGTGGCTACAGGAGGACAGATGGCAGTGACATTTTGGAAGATAAAAGGACTGGGGGGACTGATTCCATGTAAAGTGTCCCCACACTGATGCCCAGAGGGGGAAGGAGCTTTTTTAAGCCACAGGACTGCAGAGGTAGAGGTGCCAAATGCACCCAGCAGTAAATGGGTGGGAGGTGTGACGTAAGAAAGAGGTCAGTTTGGAAATTTAAATCAAAAGGGCTTGACCCCAACCACATCCCCATTCTTAGGCAGGTGACAACTTGTCAGTCACCGGAGCATAAGATTAGGGTTGTCCCCCAGGCACAGCTGGGGACAGCAGCAGTGTCCTTCCTGACAATAAAGTTCGTACAAAGTCCTTCTGTCTCACTCTTCAATCAACTGACATCTGCCTGAAGGAAAGACCTAGAGACACTGTTAGGGGGAGACTCAGAAAAATGGCCAACTTCCCTCTTGTCCCCAAGAGCAAAGCATTTACATCCCCAGCTCATTCAGCACCCAGCAGCCAGGGGTCACCTGATATTGGAGTTCTGTCCCCCTAGACACAAAAGAGAGAGCAAGCCAAGCAGGAGAAACGCTCAGAGCAACCACACCAGCAGCCAGTGACCTCAGGAATACAGAACGGTGCTGCAATCGGGAAGAACACTCGGGCACTATTTTTTAAAGAACATGCACAGAATGAATTCTTAGAAATTTTAAAAAACAGCCAGAATCAGGACATTAGTAGACGGGTCGCTGAAGAAATTTCTCCACTAGGAAGTGACGGACTGGTTCAGGAGGGCTGCAGGTTGGCTGGCGATTTGGAGGACCTTAGCTTCCAGACTGAGAGGCTCCACAGCTGTCCTGGGATGTGAGGGGGTGTTAGGGAAGACAGTGGCCCAGGAGGTGCCAGGAACCTGTCCCCTGGTTTGGACGTCTGGAGCTGCCCAGGAAAATGCAGTGATCAGGCTGTGGAGCTTCAGGAACCCAGGGGAGGCCATGGTGGGGACTGCCTACCCCTGCCCCGACCCCAGCCCCAGGAAGGCAGCACTGGGGGTGGCTGGCCCAGCCAGCAGGAGCCTGGATGGACAACATGGCCCTTGACCTTCAAATCTTGGGCTGTGGACTCTGACTGCTGACCACTGCTTTGGATCAGTGAGGGTGCAACAGAGAGGCAGCCATGATTTCCACTCCCTAGGACTGATGTACCTTCTGGGGATTTTAAAGAAAGAGTACCCTCCTCTTCTTTGGGGACATTTGAGGAAATCTTTGACAGGACACTGACTGACCGCAGAGATAGAAGACAGAATCATCAGTGACCACACACAAGGAACATGTACTATGAAAAAATTGTTTGAAAAAGACAAAAGCTTCAGCTCTTCACAAGCAGGATTCAGTCCCTGAGGAGTGGGGAAATCAGATTTAATAGAGTTACCACACATAATGCTCAAAACGTCCAGTTCTCAAAAAAATTACAAAACACACAAAGAAGCAGGAAAATAAGATGACATTAGCCATCCACAAGGAAGCCAGTACATTGGAACAAGTCAAGGATGATAAATCTGTGACCTTGAAGATGTTCAATGAGCCAAAGGAAGTCATGGACAAAAACTAAAGGAAAGCAGTGTGTGAGTAAAATGAGAATATGAATAAACTGCTAGTAATCATAAAAAGTCACCAAAACTTGGAAGAAACCATGTGGTACTTCAGTAAGCAAATATATAAAAGAAACTGTGATAGAAGAATTGTAGCTCAAGGTCAGCCCAAGCAAAAAGTTATTAGGACCCCCATCTCAAATAATCAGCCAGGGGTGGTGACACATATCTGTAATCTTGGATGTTCAAGAGGTGGAAGTAGGACAATCGCAATGGAGGTCAACTCCAGGCACAGATAGGAGACCCTAACCGAAAAACAACTAAAAGTTTTTCTGGGCTAGGGTATGACTCAAGTGTTGGAAATTTGCCTAGCAAGCACAAGGCTCTTATACCGTGTACCCCATTTAATCCAGTACTGCCAAAAAAAAAAAAGAAAGAAAAGAAAATGTGATATAGCCAAATAGAATATTCTTCAGCATTAAAAATAACCTGTCAAGCCATGAAAAAACACAGAGTAACCTTAAATCCATATCACTAAGTGAGATAAACCACTTTCTAGATTGGAAAAGCCAGTTGTGCAGATGGGTGGTTGCCAGGGATTGGGGGAGAGAATGCAACTCTTCCTTATGACGCTATACAGGTGGATGTATGTTGGCATGTTTTTGTCCAAACCCACAGAATAGGCACCACCAAGAGTGAGCTCTTGTATAAACCATGGACTCTGGGTGACAGTAATTTGTCAGTGCTGGTTCATTGACTGCAACACACATACAACTTTGCCATAGTGTGCTGATAGCAGGGAGGCTGTATGTGTTGGCGGAGGCAGGAACTCTCTGTACCTTCTGCTCAGTTTTGCCATAAACACCTAAAACTGCCCTAAAAATAGCTGATTTTTTAAAAACAGGAACCAAACAGAAATTCTGGAACTGAAAAGTCCAGTAGCTGAAATGAAAAGCTCACTAGAAGGTTATCAGCAAATTTAAGCAGGATCAGTGAACTTGAAGATAAGTCAACAGGAACTGTTATCTGTAGAACAGAAATTTTGAAAGACTGTCCTTGGGGGGATGGCAAATCCTGACAGACCTGTGGGACTTCCCCTGCCCCCCGCCCCCCGCCAAACATATGCTTCTAGAAGTTGCAGAAGGAGAGACAAGAAGCAGAGAAAATATTTGCAAACATAGTGGCCCCAAAACACCAGGAAGCTGAATCCAACAGCACATCAACGTGATTATGCTCCATGTTCAAATGGGGTTCATTCCTGCCAGGTAAAGATGTATGCAATGTATGTAATGTGTCAGGCTAACAGAATGAAAGACAACAACCCTAGACACAGAAAAAGCAACTAATAAAATTTAATGTCCATTTATGACTTTGAAATCTCAATAAATTACGTATGGAAGGAAAGTACTTTGACACAATAAAGGTCATTCATGGCAAGCCTCACCAACATTATACTCAAAAAGGGAAAAGTTGAGAGATTTTCCTTTAAAATCTAGAACAAGGCAAAGATGTCCACTCTTGCCACTCTTGCTCACATAGCACTGGAAGTCCTAACCAGAATGACTAGGCAAAAGAAAGAAAGTCCATCTAAATTGGAAAGAAGGAAATGAAATAGTTCTTGTTTGCAGATGACAGGATCTTACATACAGGAAAACCTAAAGGCTCCACCAAAAATCCATTACAACTAATAGATGAAACGAACTTGTAGGATATAAAATAGTGCTGCTTTTATATGCCAATAGCAAAGTAGCTGAAGAAGAGATCAAGAAAGCAGGCTGGTGGAGTGGCTCAAGCAGTAAGAGCACCTGCCTAGCAAGCATGAGACCCTGAGTTCAAAGCTCAGTGCCACCCCCCAAAAAAAGAAAATAATCCTGTTTATAGTAGCTGCCAAAAAATAAATTAACTACCTAGGAATAACTCCAACCAAGGAGGTGAAGGACCTCCACTGTAAGACACTGATGGAAGAAATTCAAGGAGACACACACAGGTGGAAAGATAACCTGTGTCCAGTAAGTTCCCATGTACCCCATTTTAATCTTGTTAAAATTTCAATGCTACTCAAAGCAATGAACAAATTCAAAGCAATCTCCAACAAAGTACCAATAACACTCTTCATATAAATGGAAAAACATCCCAAAATTTGTATAGAACCACAAAAGACTCCAAAGAGTCAAAGTGATGTTGAACAAAAAGAACAAAGCTAGAGATATCACATTACCTGACTTCAAAATATACTACAAAGCAATAACTAAATAGCATGCAGCTGGCACAAAA